ACGCTGTAATGAAAACCAGGTACGGTAACGCAATAAGCACTTTTACAGTCCTGCAGCTGTACGCTAGTACTTCGGTGAGACAGACCTATTTCCGAAGACATTTGTCGTCACTCCATTTGCAAATGTCTCAGTGTTTAGCGAAGAAGTTCCAAACTGCATGCAATGAGAAGTTTTAATCTATAAACCAGTAAAAATGTGACATGCACCCCGCAGATTGAAAAAGAAAACAATTAGTGTTGTACAAAAAGTGTTTTACCACATAACTGAGGGTGAGAGCTTAAAGAGAGGAGAGATTCGTTTGTACGTTACCACTGGTTTCGGGCGCTTTTGTGAGGCCAAATATTTCCGCTCTTTCCCCAAAAGCTGTGGGATTTGCCAACAACGCAAGAAGTGTGTGTGCGTCTGCTCCGCAGCAAGAACGCTGATAAATGTCAAAAACAGACAGGGGCTGCTCTAGCGTTTAGTCGGGACTCGCTCGGGCAGAACTTCTCCAGTTCTGTCTCTGAAAGTTTCAGTCAAATGAGGGTCATGACAAGATACTGCCTCTCTCAGGCGAAAGAACTTGGTGATTTTGTGCGACCTAATTACTAGGCTAGGAAGGGTACTGTACTCAAACAAAGAGGTGGCATCTGGCTTGTCATTAACCTCTCTGTAAAAACATTGTGTACGTGCAGAAAATGGGCTGTAAATGCACAGTGTTGCTTGAATAAGCTGATCAGAGGATGTCTGGACTGGTTTTCGAGCTTTTCTGGATGGGTCTTCAAGTCAACCCCCTACTGTCCAATAAGACGGCTCCATCTCCCATTTCAGAGGGTGGGCATGTTGAGCCGAGAAGAAAGATCTCAGTTTTCTCGTCTTTCAGTTTTGTATACGGAGGGGTCGTGGTCAAGCAGGCGTGTGCTATAATTAGATTGGTATGCTCAAAAGTTTTCTTCTGTTGTCCATTATTTCTCATAATGCCTCGTAAGAAACCAAACTCTTGAAGGATGTATTTAAGCAATTAGTATCTGTATAATATATGAGTGAAAAATTTAAGGGGGTCTGAATACTTTCCGTACCCACTGTATATTCAAAAACAGAAGCTGATAACAAACCAACTTAAGTTTTAGACTAAATCTGGCCAATTAGTTTGTATATCTTTCCTCTGCCAATGACAATATTTCCAAGGGAAGCTAATCATGCTTTGCGTGACCTAACTGTTGTGTAATAAGATTTATTTGAAGACTAGTTAGTGAAACTAGTTAGAAATATTAAACTCGCACAACAGATATGCCATTGTTATTTTAGTCATTTATCACAATAACGTTTTATATTTTTAGATCATTTGACATTAAACAAACTGTTAATTTGTTTTGACTAGATGGTTTGATTCATTGTTTGTAGACAAATATGTTAAACACAAGTTGTGCAGTTTAATAGCAATTCGTTATGAAGATTTGTCAAATCAGACAACCAATTAAATTTAACTTGATGTTTATGAATTAAAGTATTCAAAGTTTAAAACAGAAAAAAGTAGTGCAAATACTCTTTATGCACTTCAAAGTTTGACATTTTGTAAATAACCTTTTAAAAACTCCACATAGTCTTTAATGAGCAGAAATTACTCCTTACTTTTTTTTTCTCGGGTTAAGTGCGGACAAACTAGCAGATGAGTTTTAGACATTTTCCAGAGCTTTCAGAATTAAACAACCTCCAGAAACTGCAAACACATCCAGCCTTAGATTAAAACTGATATCACTCTTACACGATCGAATGTGTTGTTGTTCATTGCAACATCTCATCCAGGTGTAAGTAACCTATAAGTTGTAATGTGTATAAGAATGTGTATGTTAGCGACAGAACTGTAAATAGATGAGTTTTATGAGACGTAGATCAAAAGAGAGTTTAACTGTAGTGTGAAATTAATGGTGTAAGATGTTTCAGCATCGTAGGATGTTTTGACTTGCCATCAGGTAATGACCGGAGCTCAGTGACTCAACCAGCTGGAATGAACAGCTGCGACTGTTCTTTATACTTGAGCTTTCTTTATACATGTTCCTTGTCTTAATTGTGCATGATTCATTGGTGTACTTGAACCCAAAGGAAAAAACCATCTTCAGTATTTTTCTTCAAAATAAATGTACTTGCTCCGCCTCTAAAATGGCTTTCCTTTTCAGATGACGCTAGCAAGTCAATCCCATCCTTTTAAGACTACCTGTCCTACAGAAACCACTTTTCCACATCAAGTCCCTCCCTACCTACTTTTTTCATGGAAGTAAAATGGTTCTAAAATGGATTCCTCATGCATTTCCACACTTACGGTTCACATCTTGTTGAGTTACGAGGATTGGACATTCTTCTAGTTCAGTTTGGTTGTAGACCCAACCAACATGACGTTCTTTTCTTGAAGAAACTCAACAGAGGATGTTGAATTTAGGATGTCTTTAAAAAACATCACTCTTTCCACAGATGAATTCCATTGGTTAGAATGGTCTGTATAATATCAAGGACCATTTGAGATGTACTTTGAGACCCAGAAGACTATTTCACACACATGCCTTGCACCATGATAATGTCTGTCAAAATGCTGGACTGTGTTTTTTCGTTGCGTTCAGACATCTCTTTCCACTGTGGTAATGTCGGTTTGCTTCAGCATCTGGTTCAGTATATTTCCTTATGGAACTTTTAACATAATGGAAGATTTTATGTTGTACCAGAGAGCTTAAGCACTCAGCAGTGGCATGTGTGTAGTCAGCGGTTTTGTGTTTCTTTCCTTTTAGCTGGGTACCTCAAAATCACCCTCGAGGCATTTAGATTAACAATTCCATTTTGGGTCATCCACTGTTAACAAACCTTGGTGTAAATTAAATAATGATTTAATCGGTGTAACCATTGTGTCCGAAAATTTACTTGGAGTCTGAGGATTGCAGCTTTACTGATTTCTCTTGTCAAGTTTTTAAACGATCCAGTATTGGCCTCTGAACAAGCCCAGAGACTCTGGTTGTCCTGTCTGGTGTTTTAATAACTGTTGACAGAGATCCGTGGGGAGTATAACATGTCGCTCCAGGATCAGACAATAGAGGTACAGAGTTCAAATAATGGTTGGGTTGTGTAACGGATACTAAATTAATGGCTTAGTTCAAGGAAGCCTTGAAGCCTTTGGTCAGACCTCTGTCACGTTTACCGAAAATAGTGGTGTCTTTTAAATAACTGTTAAATGTTTTAGGTTAACACGTTGACAGAAAATGCTTCATGAAGTAATTTACAATATTTATGGGAGGTGGGGGTTGAAAGTCTTGGCAAATGCTTTAATTATATGCTAGTTTTCCCAAACAGATTCGAAATCTTTCATGTAAAAAGTAAGCAAAAATATTTGTTTGTACAGAGGAAGATTTGTAAAAGCATCCAACCAACAACAACAAAAAGTTTTGCATAAGAGCCAATTTATAACTACATATTTGAACAAAATGAGTTTAATCTGTGCCAAAAGTGTGCAAGAAATAAACTGGAAAGAATACAGTCATTGTGACTAAATACAAATTACATAACTCATTGATTGACCTGAATCAATGTGTACGTGTAAAAATAAACATTTGCAAAAATGTAAATGTCTCGCTCTAAGAACATAACAGTGTTTAGTCTTCACAAGGCCGTAAGGAACATCACATTTCGAGATATTCTTTTAGAGAAAGTCTCAGTGTTTACCAGAGGAAACATCAAGTTAATGGTGTAACTGACAGCATTTCCCAACGGTGTAATGTGGGAATTGGGAAAAAATTCTGGAAAGTTCTGATGTCCAATGGGAAAGTCTGATGGGTTTGTCTAAGGGATTTGTGATGTCTTTGTTGGTTGATTGTGGGAACATGGTGTCAATTATCGTATGTTTTTAATTACCTAGTTGAAATGCAGACAAATGAGGAGTTAAATTTAAGAGCAGTTTTATTAGATGTCGTAATTACTTATTAAAACATACTGAGTATCTGTACATGTTTTAATATGTAATTAAGGGACGGGGTAAGTAAGGGTATAATTTCTAACTGTATTTAGTGGTTTCTGCAAAAGACAGAGAGATGGAAACATTTTTCTTCTTTTATTTTATTATTTACTGTCAGTATTAAATGGTTCTGTGTATTCAATCTTCTCTTCTGTGGTTTAGAGTCCTGAAGGCATGACTGTTGTCTTCAACTCAACTAATTATTAAAAAACACTTGGTGTATTAAAGGAATAGTTCACCTAAAATTTCTGTGGAATATTCTGGATTCTTTTTCAGTATAATTGAGTTAGATCTATTCAGTGCATCGGTTGATCTAATTTACGAAACTGATCTGAATGATCCATTAATGAATTAGGTTGATCCAGTTTTCAAGTTACTGCCTAAATGATTCAGTCACAGCAGTTAACAGCTCACTGCAGTGAAAAATTATCAATGAATAATGAATTTGGGGGTCTGTTTCTTACATAAAAGTATCATATTACTTCAGAAGACTTTTGAATGTACATGTATGCATTTAGCAGACGCTTTTATCCATGGCCACTTATGAAAGAGGAACAAAAGCAATTCGTCAAAGAGTATGTACCGATTTTGAGAGCTTTATGTTGCTTTTTGTTGATTTTGGAGACTAAAAGCCCTTGTCCTCGTTCACTTTGACTGTATTTGAATATTTCATTATGTAGTTGCCAGGACGTTCTTGAAAAATTCTCATTTTGTGTCACACGAAAGAAAGTCAAAACCCTTGACATGGAGGTTTTCATAAACCTCGTAACGTTTTTGAGTCATTTATTCCTGTAAGACATCAAAGCTCTGTGCGGACAGTCTCAGACTGTGACTTCAGTGTATTCTTGCCTTGTTATGGAGCAAATTCCACTTACAATTACGCAAATCTCTAATATGTAAATTTCTCCACATATTTTGTTCGTATGTGTTTCGTTATCGGCCGGTGTTTTGGAACCAGGTTGCTGTGGGTCAGATGGAATCTGTCGGGATTTTGATCCCTTTAACAAATAAGTGGTTTGTTTGGCAGGAGAAGTACCCAGACGTGGTCAGCCTTCCAGAGGGATGTCGATCCGAGCTCATGATTATAAAAAGTCCTCAACTTCCAGGGTAGGTTGCATCAGCTAACAAAGTGAAATGGAAACCGCGGTACGTAACTTCTGCTGTTTTCCATCTGTTGATGGCACATGAAACATATATTATGTCAAGTGACTGCAAGTTGCTGTATCTTTCTATGGTGGCCACAACTGATATATCCAGATTACATGCTTGAAATATAGAAAGAGTCAATGGCTGTATGTCTCTCAGGATCTCCATGACCATATTCTGGAAGATAGATGTGTCCATGGAAGGAGTGGTAAAGCCATCGCTTGAGCTCCTGCTGAAAATGCCAGACCAGGGTAAGATTAACTGGGTGATGAGTGAAAAATACATTATGTAAGGGATAATATTGCATCAGGGTTAACCAGCTTATCCTGCTTATTAGATAGGTTAAAAGTCTTCAAAGGCCATTTTTACTAGACTCATAAACTACCCATTTTTTGATTTGCATGATGCCATCAATTAGCTACTCTACCTTGCATTGGTGGAATAAAAAAAAACATGAAAATAGTCATGGGAACGGTTTAAATATCATGGAAGTCCTAAGAGGCCATGGAATAATTTTTTTCTTTTTTGTTTTCTCCTGATCTCTAACAGGTTATTATCTGAAAGTTACACAACTGAAGCACTAGGTGGCAGTAAATATAACTGATGGGGTATAACTTTGTCGAGATCACAAGAAAATTAAATCATGATCACAAGATAACTTTCGTTATGTTGATATCACAAGAAAATTCCGAAAGTTAAGTCATGATAATGAGAAAACAACTTTTGTTAATTTGAGATGAGAATATAAAAAAAAAAATTTGTGATCACGCTGAAAACTTTCGTTATGTCAAGATCATGAGAAAATTAAGTTGTGACGAGAAAACAAATTTCGTTATGTCAAGATCACGGGAAAATTAGGTTGTGACGAGAAAACAACTTTCGTTATGTCAAGATCATGAGAAAATTAAATTGTGACGAGGAAACAACTTTCGTTATGTCAAGATCATGAGAAAATTAAATTGTGACGAGGAAACAACTTTCGTTATGTCAAGATCATGAGAAAATTAAATTGTGACGAGGAAACAACTTTCGTTATGTCAAGATCATGAGAAAATTAAATTGTGACGAGGAAACAACTTTCGTTATGTCAAGATCATGAGAAAATTAAATTGTGACGAGGAAACAACTTTCGTTATGTCAAGATCATGAGAAAATTAAATTGTGACGAGGAAACAACTTTCGTTATGTCAAGATCATGAGAAAATTAAATTGTGACGAGGAAACAACTTTCGTTATGTCAAGATCATGAGAAAATTAAATTGTGACGAGGAAACAACTTTCGTTATGTCAAGATCATGAGAAAATTAAATTGTGACGAGGAAACAACTTTCGTTATGTCAAGATCATGAGAAAATTAAATTGTGACGAGGAAACAACTTTCGTTATGTCAAGATCATGAGAAAATTAAATTGTGACGAGGAAACAACTTTCGTTATGTCAAGATCATGAGAAAATTAAATTGTGACGAGGAAACAACTTTCGTTATGTCAAGATCATGAGAAAATTAAATTGTGACGAGGAAACAACTTTCGTTATGTCAAGATCATGAGAAAATTAAATTGTGACGAGGAAACAACTTTCGTTATGTCAAGATCATGAGAAAATTAAATTGTGACGAGGAAACAACTTTCGTTATGTCAAGATCATGAGAAAATTAAATTGTGACGAGGAAACAACTTTCGTTATGTCAAGATCATGAGAAAATTAAATTGTGACGAGGAAACAACTTTCGTTATGTCAAGATCATGAGAAAATTAAATTGTGACGAGGAAACAACTTTCGTTATGTCAAGATCATGAGAAAATTAAATTGTGACGAGGAAACAACTTTCGTTATGTCAAGATCATGAGAAAATTAAATTGTGACGAGGAAACAACTTTCGTTATGTCAAGATCATGAGAAAATTAAATTGTGACGAGGAAACAACTTTCGTTATGTCAAGATCATGAGAAAATTAAATTGTGACGAGGAAACAACTTTCGTTATGTCAAGATCATGAGAAAATTAAATTGTGACGAGGAAACAACTTTCGTTATGTCAAGATCATGAGAAAATTAAATTGTGACGAGGAAACAACTTTCGTTATGTCAAGATCATGAGAAAATTAAATTGTGACGAGGAAACAACTTTCGTTATGTCAAGATCATGAGAAAATTAAATTGTGACGAGGAAACAACTTTCGTTATGTCAAGATCATGAGAAAATTAAATTGTGACGAGGAAACAACTTTCGTTATGTCAAGATCATGAGAAAATTAAATTGTGACGAGGAAACAACTTTCGTTATGTCAAGATCATGAGAAAATTAAATTGTGACGAGGAAACAACTTTCGTTATGTCAAGATCATGAGAAAATTAAATTGTGACGAGGAAACAACTTTCGTTATGTCAAGATCATGAGAAAATTAAATTGTGACGAGGAAACAACTTTCGTTATGTCAAGATCATGAGAAAATTAAATTGTGACGAGGAAACAACTTTCGTTATGTCAAGATCATGAGAAAATTAAATTGTGACGAGGAAACAACTTTCGTTATGTCAAGATCATGAGAAAATTAAATTGTGACGAGGAAACAACTTTCGTTATGTCAAGATCATGAGAAAATTAAATTGTGACGAGGAAACAACTTTCGTTATGTCAAGATCATGAGAAAATTAAATTGTGACGAGGAAACAACTTTCGTTATGTCAAGATCATGAGAAAATTAAATTGTGACGAGGAAACAACTTTCGTTATGTCAAGATCATGAGAAAATTAAATTGTGACGAGGAAACAACTTTCGTTATGTCAAGATCATGAGAAAATTAAATTGTGACGAGGAAACAACTTTCGTTATGTCAAGATCATGAGAAAATTAAATTGTGACGAGGAAACAACTTTCGTTATGTCAAGATCATGAGAAAATTAAATTGTGACGAGGAAACAACTTTCGTTATGTCAAGATCATGAGAAAATTAAATTGTGACGAGGAAACAACTTTCGTTATGTCAAGATCATGAGAAAATTAAATTGTGACGAGGAAACAACTTTCGTTATGTCAAGATCATGAGAAAATTAAATTGTGACGAGGAAACAACTTTCGTTATGTCAAGATCATGAGAAAATTAAATTGTGACGAGGAAACAACTTTCGTTATGTCAAGATCATGAGAAAATTAAATTGTGACGAGGAAACAACTTTCGTTATGTCAAGATCATGAGAAAATTAAATTGTGACGAGGAAACAACTTTCGTTATGTCAAGATCATGAGAAAATTAAATTGTGACGAGGAAACAACTTTCGTTATGTCAAGATCATGAGAAAATTAAATTGTGACGAGGAAACAACTTTCGTTATGTCAAGATCATGAGAAAATTAAATTGTGACGAGGAAACAACTTTCGTTATGTCAAGATCATGAGAAAATTAAATTGTGACGAGGAAACAACTTTCGTTATGTCAAGATCATGAGAAAATTAAATTGTGACGAGGAAACAACTTTCGTTATGTCAAGATCATGAGAAAATTAAATTGTGACGAGGAAACAACTTTCGTTATGTCAAGATCATGAGAAAATTAAATTGTGACGAGGAAACAACTTTCGTTATGTCAAGATCATGAGAAAATTAAATTGTGACGAGGAAACAACTTTCGTTATGTCAAGATCATGAGAAAATTAAATTGTGACGAGGAAACAACTTTCGTTATGTCAAGATCATGAGAAAATTAAATTGTGACGAGGAAACAACTTTCGTTATGTCAAGATCATGAGAAAATTAAATTGTGACGAGGAAACAACTTTCGTTATGTCAAGATCATGAGAAAATTAAATTGTGACGAGGAAACAACTTTCGTTATGTCAAGATCATGAGAAAATTAAATTGTGACGAGGAAACAACTTTCGTTATGTCAAGATCATGAGAAAATTAAATTGTGACGAGGAAACAACTTTCGTTATGTCAAGATCATGAGAAAATTAAATTGTGACGAGGAAACAACTTTCGTTATGTCAAGATCATGAGAAAATTAAATTGTGACGAGGAAACAACTTTCGTTATGTCAAGATCATGAGAAAATTAAATTGTGACGAGGAAACAACTTTCGTTATGTCAAGATCATGAGAAAATTAAATTGTGACGAGGAAACAACTTTCGTTATGTCAAGATCATGAGAAAATTAAATTGTGACGAGGAAACAACTTTCGTTATGTCAAGATCATGAGAAAATTAAATTGTGACGAGGAAACAACTTTCGTTATGTCAAGATCATGAGAAAATTAAATTGTGACGAGGAAACAACTTTCGTTATGTCAAGATCATGAGAAAATTAAATTGTGACGAGGAAACAACTTTCGTTATGTCAAGATCATGAGAAAATTAAATTGTGACGAGGAAACAACTTTCGTTATGTCAAGATCATGAGAAAATTAAATTGTGACGAGGAAACAACTTTCGTTATGTCAAGATCATGAGAAAATTAAGTTGTGACGAGAAAAGAACTTTCGTTATGTCAAGATCATGGGAAAATTAAGTTGTGACGAGAAAACAACTTTCGTTATGTCAAGATCATGAGAAAATTAAATTGTGACGAGAAAACAACTTTCGTTAAGTCAAGATCACGAGAAAATTAAGTTGTGACGAGAAAACAACTTTCGTTATGTCAAGATCATGAGAAAATTAGGTTGTGATTGAGAAAACTTTTATGTCAACACGTTATGTGATCACAAGAAAAAAGCTATTATGTCGAGATGAGAAAACTTTAAAAAAAAATTGTGATTACGAGAAAACTTTCGTTGAGATCACTAGAAAATTAAGTCATAATCATGAAAACAGCTATTATGTCAATCACAAGAAAATTAAGTCATGATCACGAGAAAACAAGAATGAAAAATAATCCATGGCCTCATAAGACTTCCGTAAAATATAAAATTTTGTGGTTGTAATACAAAATTTACCAATCAGAATCAAGTATTTTATTATTTTACACTTGTATAATTCATAATAGTGACTTAGAATGTGGTACAATGATCTAAAATGTTTTATTTTGTTTTCAGCTCGGGAGTTTGACACCAAAAAAGTGATGGAAAATGGCTCGGATTATTTTCAGAGCCTCCTGCGGGTTCTTGCGGTGGAAGCATCTATCGAGGGCTTGATAAGAACTGTGTTTGTGAGAACTCAAAAATTAAGCCAAAGTTCACGCTGTGGGAGCTTCATATCTAATCGTTTATTCGATATAAACACCTGTACAATCACCCGTTAGGAACTACATATTGATGCCACCTGTACGTTTCTATCATTTTTACGTATGATATGCCCACACTGTATGGAAATATACATCATTAGACAAGAGCTAGAAAAATAAATAATTTTAAATACAAAATGTCTGACAGCAAAATCCACTTTGTATTTTCAAATAGTTACATTTTAACATTAGATTCAATCACAGAAATTGTGATCTTCCTTTCTTTTCTTGCTTAATAACAGAACTAATGTCCATTCCTACCTACATAGTGATTATAGGTCTTTATTTCATTAGAATAACACAATGTCACCACCTCAGACTCATAATATCTCTGGTTCAAAAGGGGAAAGATGTTGTTAAAACGAAGGCAAATACAGCAATGTCTGTTGTGGAGAAACTGCACTTTTCAATCAGTTACTTCATAACACATCAAAACATGACAGTCAAACAAACGCCATCAGTTCGACAACGAAAGAGTTTTCGCTCACAGGTAAGGCGTATTAATACTTCTCTTGACACCAGTTCACATTAAGACAAAGGGGAGTGTGAACACAGTTTGGCAATGTTGAATGTTCATCCATGTAAAATGCAAACACTGTTCGCCTGATGGGAACTGCATTGACGACTTTGAGTTAAGCAAGCCGAAGCAGTTTGCATCACGCTAAAAGAGGTAAACAGAAGCATGAGCATCACTCACGCCACAGTACATTGTAACAGTTATATTCCCCATAACAGAGAAAAGCGACCATGAGGTGCCATCTTTAGTGTTAGTTACACCGTAAAATCTGCGCAAACCGTCAACTGTGGTTATTTTTACGATCAAAGATGCCAAACTCACAACTCATGTAACATTAAATCAACACTACCATTTCTGTGGCCTATACTGCTTCTCTGAAAGAAAAAAAAAAAAACTGTTGGAAAAACTGCTGGATCATCCTTTTTATTGTGCTAAAAAAAACTGGCGTGCTGTCCATCTTTGGTTGACTTATGAAATATGTCTGGCTCTGCAACCAATTACGGCCATTAAAACTAAAGCCAAACGTAACAGTAGTAGCGTTCAAGCTGCTGGGGATGGATTCCTCTGGTTGTTTTCTGCTCCGAGATTTCAAAACAGATGACAACTAAGCATATCAGTGTCAAACTCAGAGACAAAGCCATCGATGATGGACAGACACAGACGATTTTTTCATTTTACAGTTTTTCTAGGAAAAACGGTGGTGTTTTATTTTTGAGATGATGGACTAGCTTTAAAGTAGTAGTTCAACCAAAAATTTACACACCATCATGTCTGTACTAATGTTTTCCAAATGTTTTTCCAAACTTTTGAAGAATCGTTACGTAACTTTTGCCATACAACAACCGCTGTGACCAAAGGCTGTAAAGCTCCAAATAAAGCACCATAAGACTTGTGCACTGCATTTCATGTCTTCTAAAGTCAAACAAATTTCAGTCGTTATTTTTAGTCGTTCTTTCACAATACCTAGTCAGAATGAACTGACGAGCTGCGTAACGATTCTATCAAACGGGTTTGCGATGACATGAGGGTTAGTAAACAATGGACTTTTTATTTTTTATTGTGAACTACTCTTTAATAAGACACTTCGATTTCTTTGTACAGCGGTTATGCCAGCCGAGCGTACGTTACAAAAATACAATTTCAATAGCGAGTAATATCATTAGGCTTATCTTCTAATTTATCAAATCTATCTTACGGGTAGTGACGGTGTTATCGCGACCTCATTCGCTAGCATGCAACAGGTCTGTGCTTGTCAGTATAACTCCCACTACTGTAGCTCGCCGAGGGTCAGAGGTTTGAGGAGCTCTAGGGATGAAGCCGCGCTAAAAACTCAAGTACTTGTCTGTTTTTGAATTCCAAACTGCCTGTACAGCGACTGCAGACACGGCCAAGCTGATGCACGGTAAAACGTTCATTAGGGAAAATCGCTGTAAGCCACTTTTGGCACTTGGAAAACACAGTAGCGCCGCTGCGTGCGAGAAACACCCAACAGCACTGCACAAAAACACACACACACACACACACACACACACACACACACACACACACACACCCTCCATGTCCTCCCTTTTTACAGCCAATGACTGACTCGTTCAGGTATTCTGTGCTTTAGGAGACCAGCCCCAATGAGAACATCACCCTCAAAAAGAAAAACATCAGGTCGCTCTGGCAACAACTGCGAACGCCAAGTTCACAGGAGGGCAAACAACTAGACAGACTAGCAAACAGAAAGAACAAAATTATATCACTATTTCAGCTTCACTTCTAGGCATTTCCCAAGCAGCACTTGTAGAGGTGTCTCATACAGCATGGAAGAGCAGCGTGCATTCCTGCCTTTCCTTATATAGGCTGGAGGGGGGCGGAGCTTGCGTGCTCCGCAGGTAGTAGTTGACGATTTTTGTGTCCAACTTGTTCTGGTGAGGGATGCCTTCATACGGTTTGGGGTCCAGATCCAGGATGGAGACTGAATATGTGAAACGAGGCTTCTCCAAATTCAACTGGTGTCTGGAAACAAAGCGAACGAAAAGTAAAATGATGGCAAATGTCAAGGAAGATAATTCAACCAGTGATTTTAAAGGGCGAAAACTAACTTACTCCTCATCTTCCTCACAAGGTGCAAACGTGATCATGACTGAGCAGTCTTTGGCAGTCATTGCGACTCTATACTGATGAACCTGGAAAGTAACATCTGAGAGTTAATCTTAATCTTTAACTTTTTTTTTTTTGGAAAAAGATTCTTAATTGCCACCGAAATACATTCAAATTTAAACTTCTCAGCATCACGTTCACGGTCTTACCTTCCCAACAGCATATTCTACAGAGCCATCATCTTCTGAAGGACAGTTTTTCACCGTGTCCATGAAAGTCTCATTATAAGGCCCATCTATCTGCAGTCGGTTTCTGAAGATACAAAAAGTGTTGATTGGATGTTAAAGTGCCTTTAGGCAAGTTTATTCATAAAGATGATGTGGCTTTGCATGGAAATCACTTACGACTATGCTGCACAGGACCACCATGTGGCCGCAGTGCCTCATGACTTGACTTGAACTACTTATATTCACAAATGTGTCTTTTGCACCACCTAGTGTCTGTTCAGTCTTTCAGGGAAAGTAACAAGTCTTACAATTATAGAATGAAGTATATAATTGGTTAGGATTCATCAACTGTTCTGAATTTTTATACAATGCTTTCAGTACATGTGAACACTGCATAGATCTGAAGTATTTGCCCAATATAAACTTTACTCAGCAGGAACAAAACGTTCTTGCACTGGAGTATTGATCTGATAGATTAGTAACGTAGCACTCAATACACCCGATTAAAAATTCACCTTTCTCTCGGGAACTCTTCTAGATACTGCTCCACGCGTTTGTACAGAGGGTAGATTCCTTCAATATCCAGGTTATCCAGCATCTGGACTTGGAGGATTTTTGCGAGGACACTGTCTTTAGGGAGGCCATGGTTACCTGTGAACACATGGAAATGAGCTCAACGTGTTCTACTGGTCTTGCGTAACAGATTTATGACTACCGGAATTTCTATGCCGCAATAATCTGACCTTTTATACACCTCTTAACGTGTCATTTGAAATGCAGTGTATTTTCTTAAACTGTGTCAAGCACTTTTGCTCCAGTTCACTCCTACGCATATATCGTGATTCGTGACTCATCAGTGAAGTGATTTCCATTGCACTTGTTTAGCAATATTTTGAAGGACATAAAACCATGTTTTCCCACTGACGGCCATCCAAAGTCACTGGTAAAGTCCTCACCGTTGCGGAGCAGGTCTCTTGGGAAGGGACTGGCTTCACAGTGCGGCCTGCTCTCAGACAGGTGCACCTTCCTGGGCTCTCCCGAGCGATTCGAGTCCCCGCCGCTGAGCAGAGCGGAGCAGATCACCTGAATGAACTCGTTCAGGACAGCTTTGCCAGGCTGGTGGCCATTATAGAGGCTGTTACTATGAGGGAAATAAGGCCGAAGGTGCTGAATTAGATCGTTCAATTCGGGTTGCTGCTTGGCATCGTCCTTACAGCTAAATATCAACTCTCCGCCCTGAAAAAAAAAGATGCGAGAAACAACAAATTAATGCTACTTTTCTATTTATCAACCATTTCTAATGGATTAAACCAATATATATGTAGTAGCTAGAGTTTGAATATTTGATTTTCTTTTTCCCCAGCTGGTTTGCTGGTCTTTGGTGGTTTAAATGATGCTATTTTAAAGATCATTATTTTGTGTATTTGGTATAACAGAATATGTTGACATGCTTTAATGTTCAAAACACACATTCTTTTTCAAATACTGTACATTATTGTAGGTCCTCTATGCCCCGCCTCTCTTAAACACGTAATTTTCAACAAAGCCCCCCCCCTCCTTTGACAAGCGCAGTCTGCTCTGATTGGCCAGCTGACCCAGTGCATTGTGATTGGCCGAACACCACAAGCACGCGTCAGAAATGTAACGCCCCTTACCATAATCGCGAGCGTCAGCTTTCAAAGTAAATATCAAGACAGTTAATAATGTCGTTAGTTTTACCATCAGTTCAAGCCCAAAAGTGCAACAGAGTCGCGTGACAGACACAGTGATGATTCAGTACACAAGCCGCGGTTAAGACAGCTGACGTGCTATGATTTCTGACAGGCAGTTCACTCTCCTGTGATGTGACGTTTCAGAAAGGCGGGGCATAGAGGAGAAACAATAATGTACAGTATGTGGAAAATAATGTGTTTTTTGAACCATAAACCGCATAAACACATTTCATTACACCAAATACACAAAATAATGTTCTTTTTAGCAGCATCATATGACCCTTTTAATACTATGATAGTAGTACTTCCAAGTTAAAGAAATGTTCTAGGATAAATAAAAATGTAAAGCCCATTCGCACCAAGGATGATAAGTATAACGATAAATGTTTTAATAATTGTTCTAATTCTAGAATAGGGAAGCGATAGCGTTTATTATTGGAATCACTTTCAGAACTATTTTTTCCAACGAATGAATGATAAAAACACTGACAGCCAATCAGAATCCACTCAACTTTAAAAAAATCAAACATACAAGGCAGTAGATGTCAAAACTGCAAAATGTTATCGTCCACTGGTGGACGCTAATATAGTTATCGTTCTTGGTGTGAATGAATTAAAACAGAAGACCAACTGCGAATCAGTATGCATGGCATCATCACTCAGTTACATTTCGAATGCTGAACATTCTATCAACGGAAGTCGAGGGAGGATTTTCAAACTTTCATCTGAAGTGCAAAGTTCCAAAAATCGAGATTTGTTTAGAGACGTTAAACGACTCGGGACTGAATTAATTACAGAAATTCATATTTACCTTAAAGATTTTCAAGTTGTTTTGTGGTTCCTCTAACAGATTCTTCAATGCAACATACATTCGCTGTTTGCTCCTGGAATACAAGACATTGAATAAGATTTAGGTGTGTAAAATTAGTTCATTTTGGTATTAAACTCTATGCATCGCATTTTGATTTCGACATTATTCGAGATTATCTGGATCACCACATCTGAATCTTGTTTTTTAGCACTTCTGTGACTCAAGCAGCAGTACAAAACCTTCATGCATTATAGATTGTAGGGCTGGTCTCACAGTGGAAAGGTGAGTCACAACTTTTGCGAAAATGTTGATCATGCTCCTTTTTCCAAGTGGAAAATTCTTGGCTTTAACACAGGCCAGTGACGCATCCAGCTTGGTGAATGTCTTTGCCACAGTCAGTTAGGTTTGTTAACAATACTGGCTAAAGGTCATACCATCAGCGAAAGATATAAATCCAGCTCTGTTTTCCTGCATTGAGTGACTGAAGCGGTAACTCACCCTGAGAAGAGATCCAGAGGGCAATATCTGCTCAATCGCTTCCACTTCCCATTGGCTAACTGTAAAGAACAAAACGTGTCGCTTCATGATGAAACTTTGGGATTGAATCTGATTCTTGTATTTTCAGCAACATAAGCTCATCTTCTGTAGCCGAGCCTCACAAAGAATTGATTATATGATAACGTAGAGTACAAACAGATGGCAGGATGTTTACACTACACTGCACCATCCTCTTTTTTGTGTTAAAGCAGAAGTTAGCTTTTAATAAATCTGGTTTAAAAGTTTGGCAACGACTAGATTTTCAATTGGTACTTGCCTTGTAATGCTGATGCATGCAGAATCTGCAAACTTTGCACTTGCATTCCTTGGTTATGTGCCTTGAAAAGGGTAGAAATCCACATTTTGGCTAGGGGGGGAAAAGGAAAAAATATGTAATTGTATCTTTGTATCTTGCGTTACACAATGAAGTGTTGTGAATAAGCTTTATATAAAGAAGTTTAGTTGTTTTTATGTAGACAAACAAGCCTTTCAGATCAGATTCACACCACCTCCCTCTGTTTGTTTGACTGACCATGTGATTAAATTCCACACAAATAGATTCAACGAGTCATTCAGCTACTGTGGTCTACTTCCCCAAGAACAGACATTCATACTAACCCCTAAAAAACAGTTCTGTGTTATGAGACTCAGATCTTGCAGTTTAACAACTGTCACTAATCCAACCCAAGAGCGTTTACTCCCTAACGCCATGAAGATACAGTAAAACGTATTAACAACTGTCAGCAAGTTCAATGACCAGACATGTGACACCAGAGTCAACGCATTCAAGGCGAGGTTCTTGGCACACTTGCATAGTTTCGAAAGTCAATGTTTTGGAAACGTGGGTATAACAATTCTGTCACTGCCATAATTTTGAGAAAAACTATGTAAATTAAAAAAAAAAACCGCTGTTTACGTGTAAATTACACGTAAACAGCGTATGCTATTCTGTGTCAGCTGCGTCACGCGGTTATTTGAACGAAAACAACGTATCCGTGCGACGCAGCTGACACAGAATAGCATACGCTGTTTACGTTCAGCGGGTATATTCTCCAAAATGGCGCTAGGGCGACACGGAGGAGACGAATTGTTGAATAAAGTCGTTATTTTTGTTTTCTTTGCGTACAAAAAGTATGCTCGTAGCTTCGTAAAATTACGTTTGAACCACTGATGTCACATGGACTATTTTACCGATCTCCTTGCTACGTTTCTGGACCTTGATCGTGGTAATTACATTGCCGTCTATGGGAGGTCAGAAAGCTCTCACATTCCATCAAAAATATCTTAATTTTTGTTCCGAAGATGAACGGAGGTCTTACGGGTTTGAAACGACATGAGGGCGAGTAATTAACGATAGAATTTTCATTCAACTAACCCTTTAAAATGTCTTAATGATCCATTTCTTACAAACACACAGCTTTTCACTTAACAAGATGTTAACTGATGGACTGGAGATTACTTGTGGATTATTGTGATGTTTTTATCAGCTGTTTGGACTCCCATTCTGATGGCACCCATTCACTGCAGAGGATACATTGCTGAGCAAGTGATGTAATGCTAAATTTCTTTCTCTAAAAGTCTTTTCTGATAAAGAAAAACTCTTCTACATCTTGAATGGCCTGAGGGTGAATATGTTTTCAGCATATTTTCAGTTTTTGATGAACTATTCCTTTAAACCAGACATACATCTAAACACAACATATGGTTGAGCTCAATTTTTGCATTTAAATGAGTGGTAAATGGTAAATTATGCCAGATTGTGGTAGTTTGCACAACCTTGCGCTCAAAACCAATGATTAAATGGTAAACATGGCAACTGCATGTGCAAATTCCCCCACCAACACGATCACAACAGAAGTGACGTGTTGAGACCATGTCAAACCGAACATGGAGTTCACCTTAATCTCAACGCAGATTGGAGGACTGTGGTCTCTGAGGTGGTGGAGGGGAAGTTGGGTCAGGTTGGGAAGGCATAAACCACACCCGCTGAATGTGTCCATGACCTTATCACAGCGCAGTTCTGCGTGAAGGAAAGATCACAACACCGTCACGCAACATCAAATCCGGTCTACAAAAGTGACTGCATCTCACATAAACATGTTTAGATGAACAACCGACTGCATTTTTTTGGGGATGAATCTCTGGAAAAAATAATTGATTTTTGCATAACGAAAATTAAGCCCATCTAGGACATTTTTCCTATAAATTGTCATTACCATAATGGACAAGTACATTTTACTTTTGAGGTTTTTAGTAATATCTATTCATCTCAATGTTGAAATTACTGTAATACAAGGATTTTGCAATCAAAATACAACAAATACTATAATAACACTGTTGGTTTTTGGGGGGCATTACAATGTCACTGCAAAAAAACTTAATTGAAGCAAAAAAATTATCATTCGTACCAGGTCGTTCTTGTTGGACCTTTAGCGACAGCTGTCTCACAAAGTCCAGTGGTAGTTTAACAACCTCCTGTGAACATTCAAGACATTATTTTCATCTCATTCTCTGGGTCACGGCTTGTGTTAAAGCAATACAATGTAATATTGTACATAAACGTCTTAAACTGACTTACTCCACTGTGAACGTATTTCTCCCCCAGTAAAGGCTTCATGACATATTTACTATAATCCACGATGTTGGGGATGTGTCGAAAAGCTTGTTCTGCGGTCTGGCAGGAAAGAGGTAGGAAAATGAGCTGACACTACGCTGTATGTCAATGCAAACAGACCAAGACCAAACAATTGAAGCATATTTGCATTTACACTGTTGCAGATACTCTTCATACCAAGAGACACAAATAACTCACAATACAGTGCAAGAAAACACACACATAAATATTATGTTTAACCATAAACATTGTGGAAATTGTTGACAAAACTATGCTAAAATTGAAAGTGACTATTTACATCAACAGAACTTGATAGAACAATCATTTGTGCATCAATACTTGAGTTACATTGATAGAAATATGGCAAATCATACAATGGTGAGTCAAACACAATCCATTTTTCCAAGTATTGCAAATATTTATCCATCTGTAGACTTAATGAATGTCTTTCTCTCCATGTTTTGAATATTGGTCACAATATGCATCCAATAAATCTTTGTCGGAGGTTTAGCCTGTAGCCATTTTCGTGTTATAGTTCTCTAGCTGGCTTCTAAGGCTACATTTACACGACAACGATGTAGCCAAAACCGGAAAATGTTTTTCCCTTGCAATTTTAAAATGTTTCATGTATACACGACAACGTTTTCAAAATGATTCAAGTTTACACATATCCACGAAAACCAAGTAGATATAACTGCAGACCGGAGATCTCCAAAATGGGGCGTGAACTCCAAAAGTGGGCAGAACCTCCAAAATGGGGCGGGGTCTCCTCGCGCAAAGACTTTCACCATTGGCTCTGGCTCCAGCCAATTGTTATTGACTTACATTTCAAAATAAAACTTTATAAATTAAACACTGTTTCTAGTTCATCTAAAATAAAATATGCTATATAAGTCAATATTCTCCGTGAGAGCAGAGCCCAAAGCTCGTGGCCAGTGGTGTTCGGACTGGAGTTTGAACATCTGCTTAATGATATAAACGGGAATCACCCACGGGCTCTCACGCGAGCCGTCCCAGCACAGTGCAGTGCTGGGGAAAGATTTCTATCGCTTTGTTCCAAGCAACGGGGGCGTCCCGGGGCTCGAAATTCGCAGGGTAGCAGTGGGTAGTGATGCTGGGTGTAACTAAAAAGGTGCCATTGTCCAGTGAGGTCCGGTTGGGGAGTTACGGTACGATCTCATATCGCATAATCCTATTAACTGTTTATCTCCTGAACTGCATATTTCTTTACCAAGCTATTTAGCGCCAATCCCGCCGTGCAGTCAATTTCACTGGTTAAGGTTAGGGTCAGGTGTGGGGTAGGTTTAGGGGTTAGCATTTTTGTAGCATAGTGTAGGAAATCAACACTTTAATTGACACAACCAATAAAATCTTTAGAATCAGCTGTGGGGTGGAGTTTGCACTGAAGTGGATTGGGGGGAAAAAATTGCGCATGCGTGTCATGTGCCTGTCTGTCAATGGGAGGAAGCCACGCCCTATTTTGGAGCTCCCACCCCGTTTTGGAGTTCCCGCCCCCATTTGGAGATCTCCAGGCTGCAGTTATACCCTTCTCATGAAAACGGCCAAAAACGCTGTATTACATATGACATGCCAGTAGTTGGCGCTGTGAAGTGAAGATTATATGACGTATATGCGTCTCTGCAGTTGGTAGTAATATTGGTGAGGTAAATCCACACTTCAGTCCCCAAAACGCCGTTGTCGTGTAAACGAACAGGCAAAACGCATAAAAAGTTAACCATTTTTGGCTGAAAACATTGTCGTGTAAACGGCCCCTAATAGTATGGTATCTTTCATAGTGTAAGAAAAGGTAACACAGTGCAAAAGGTAATATAGTGCATATCGGAGAAATTTGGGAAGTAATAATGTTCAGTGGTGTCGATTTGGGGAAGTTTTACCTGTCGTGTATGTGCAGAGTCTTCGGAGGGAAACTTCAGCAGACGAAGAACTTTACAGTGCTGTAATAGGAAGTGATGCGTTTAAAAACAGAAATCACACGAGTCATTTCACACAGACTTTGAAAGCTGTATGTATCCTTGTCTTATTTTAGTTCAAAAGGGAATTCTTTGAAATGGGTTTGCCTGTGTGTTCAACAAATATCCACTCAGCTGTAAACTGAATACACATTACGTTTTTCCCAGAATGCTCTTAAGACATAAAAAGGTCCACAAATGTAAAGGTGACATAATCATGTGTCTGGCGGTTTGTTTTATGAACTGATGCAACTGATGGCCGCTTAAACGCTAATGCAATTTCTAAACGCTTACAAAACCTACTTCTGCCTCACAAAATGTTAAACAAAAAAGGATGAAGCTCATAAGTAAATGACTCATAATTCACATCAAATGTATCAAGAAAATAAATTATTGTACACATTTTTAGAACAATCAAGTGCAATTTCTTTAAAATAAAAAAAATAAAAAAAATTAATTCTCATCCAAGATTGTTTTATTTTTAAATCAATTCTTAATATTTATCTTTCATTTTAGTAACTTTGTGTTTTTGTCATTTTTAGTAGTTTTTGTAAAATGTCTATATAGTTTCTATTAATTTTGACTCCAGTTTTAGTTATTTTAGCACTTACATTTTAATTAAAAGAACATTAGAAATGTTAGCTAGCAACAAGCTGAAATAAGCTTAAAATAAACTTAAGTTTCCATATATTATTATTTTTTTAGTTTAAGTTTATTTCAAATAGCAAAAAAGTTTTTTTATTGTTTTAATTAACTATAATAATAACCCAACTATAATACAACAATGAAAACCATCCTGTCCAAACAATTATTTTTGTAATAATAAAACTTATTAATTAAAAATTGTTAAATACAATTAGACATTAGAAAATATTACTTATTGCAATTAAAAAATTGCAAGAATTTCTTGTAGTATTTTGTGAAATTCACCCCATTCATATGTCAGTGTGCATCTGAAATGCCTTTACAAATGGTTTTATAAGATACCTAACTCATTCAGACTGATTTGATCAAGACGATGTGGTCCAGCTCGTACTCTAAGAATGTAAAACCAGACCAGGCAACAAGACAAAAATCCACACAAGAGTGTGGGAGCGTGAAAGAATGTCAGTAAACAGCAAACAGAGACGGACAAGCCCTTGCAGGACTCTAAAACTGGTTGGAAAACTGCATCAAAGCTTCACCCATTTTCCCCAAACCCAGTTTTGACACGATTACATCAACATATTGGCCAGTGTTGTCTCAGGCAGCTTCCTGTGATTGGACGCACAATTCCGTGTTGTAGTCTGTAATATAAATCCAGCGTGTTTATGACTCCAAACGTTTTTCCGGCAGCTTGTTCTGAGTTTATTTATCGTGTGATGGTACAGATGATCCCAAATGAACTGGAAAATCAGACAAAGGTTAATCTGTTTGCGTATCCTTGGTCTTAACAAAACAGGACCTTGATATTGCCATCCTAGTGACAAAAGGAGTCAACTGCATGATACAACGAACTGATAAATGAATCATTTACATATAGTTTCCATTACTTAGAATAGCTAAGACATAAATTATGACTCAGATCTTATATGCAATAGATTTCATTTAGAATTTCTCTCCTTTGTCGAAATATAGGAGCGTTTCAGACAAGAGTGCTTAGACAAAGTAGTTCTAGCAAGTAATACCTTAAAACAATATTACATTGTTAAAAATTCATAGGCCAAAATCTTTTTAGTCTCTAATTGTACTTTTTCCCAAAGAAAGTGATAAACATCTATATTCCCATCCATCATAGTGGTCTAAAAACGGTCTAAACCCGCATTATCTTTCACCCAATGAAGGGGAAGCTGTTAAAGGTTTCCAATCTGAACTTTGAAGCCCAGAGGGGGAAGATGTTAAGTGTACATAATCTTATCTCCAATAGAAACCCAATTTTAGATGCTCAGAACCATCCAGAAACTTAAACATCTCCACTGACCATTCATTCAAATGGCTCTCAGCGTTACTTATCCTATATATGCCACTGAAATAGTTTAATAAACTTTCGAGCTCATAAAGTGGGTGTGGCATGAGTAACACACATGTTGTACATTGACTTCATCAATGAATCCTGGTTTAGCCTGCTAGGTGGCTATTAGCTTTAAAGCCCTGACAACACCCTTTTAAGACAAGGAAGAGGTTTATCTCCGTCTACTGATGGTATAAAGCGACCAAACTTTGTGTTTAGGTCCTTTCCAAGTAGTTTGATTTGATTTCCTGTTGACTGACTCCGATTTGATTGAGTCGATATGAATCTTGGCTAAGCTAAAAGCTAGTAACTATTGAACACTAACCTGCAAATGAGACACGACCAGGCTCTTGTTGCCCTCCCCGTGATATTTCCAGTCGTTTTCGTCCATTTTATCCAGTTCCATAACCCAGAAGAACCGTAAGCTGATGGGGGTTTTGGCGCAGATTTGATACTCCGGGCGAGAGGATCGGGGTCAGGCGCAAAACTTCTGGAGGATCCGCGTCTGACACACCGACGGGTGTAGCGCCAATTCCGCTTTCCCGTGAACACGCCCCCTCTGCGTTCTCATTGGCCAGGCGCAGCGATTGCGGTTTCTCATTGGCCAGATTTCTTTGTCATTGTTAAATTCGTCCGCTGATTGGATGTTGAAAGTGACAATCAAATGGTCGTCCTCTACTGAAGGCATCTATAAGATGATATCATGAACGCATGATTGCTGTTTTCCTTCCCTTTTCTGTCCGCTTGCACGTGATTGCTCAGAGAAAAAGATTTATAAGTATAATTGTATTAATCCAAAAATACAATTATATATGTAAATGTACATTTATTTTTACCTGAATACTTTTCAAAATGTATACTTTATGGAAAATTATAGACTATATAAAATTATGTCATGGACACATGATTGCTGGTTTTCTTTCCTTTTATTTTCGCTTGCACATGATTTGCTCAGAAAAACTTTCTTTTTGGATTCATAAGTTATAAATAATTAATGCAGATCAATAAATATTCATTTTTTACCTGAATACATTTTAAATTGTGTACCTTGTGCGTATTAGTATAATTATTGTATATAATTTGTATTTAAAGAACTGAAAAAATATTTTTTTATAGGTTGGGATTGTAGGGGTTTTCTGTACTGGCAAACAATTGGAAAATGCTTAAATTAGGTAAAAATCCAAAACTAAAGCAACAATATGTGAGAGACATATTTAGAGCCAGAAGTTTGTTGTATTTGGTCTAGTAAGACAATAAAACCTTTTTAAATAATTAAGTGACTACTAAAGTAATACATTTATGACTATGCATGATTTCAAATGTTTATGTAAATGTAAGGCTAAGAAAATGAAATGAAAAGGCAAAATTAAAAACATCTCATTTAAGATCATCCATAAAAAGTATTGCCAGGCAAAAAGTAAGTTCTAATTTTGATGCATTTTATTTTGTGATTCACATCCAGAAATTTCATTGTTCTGGACTTTTTTTTTCATTCAGTTAAGAACATGTGATTTATAGATGTAATGTTTGAGGTCTATTTCATTGTAATTAATATTCATTTATTACCTTTAATAATAATAATAATATACCTTTATTTGACCCTCTAACTCTTAACACTTTCTATTCTATTTTAATTCTACTTTATATTT